AGACATGGAGGGAGTTGGACATACCGAATGGGAAAAAAAGGTAAAAACCGTGAGGTGAAACATAAATTATAAATGGGTTAATGTTATAAGAGCTACTGGGACAAGCCTAAGCTGAGGCCGAGATTTCATAATTAATATGTCTCTTTCGTTATTTGTGAGCTGGCAGCCAACAGCAAAGCTTGCTACATCTCTCTCTCTCTGACTGTCCCATCTCTTGCTGTCTCTGTGTCTCTGTCTCCTTGATGCCTGGTCAGACTCCATCCCACTACAGAGGAGGGTTTCCCTACCCACCCACGATCTAGACAAGCTGGTCACTCAGTCTTCAGTGGCTGAGCCTGGAGAACCGACTGACCATAGGTGCTTGGGGCGGGAGCCCCTGGTCACTATATCCAGTGATATCTAGTAACTCAGAGGGGTGGGTAGAGGGGACTGGACACTTGCCCAATCAGGAGCACTGACATCACCAGCTTGGTCCAATCAGAGTCCAGGAGTGGGTGATCTTGAATGCTGCCCTGGGAGTACCAGTGATCCCTGCTCTATCCTCACCCCCACCCCCACATCTCCCCAGCCCCACCCCCCAATTCCCATTTGTAGTGGCAACTGTAATGGAGAGACACCACAGAAATTGTTAAATATAGAGACATCTTTTTTTTTCAGCTTTTCTATTTTTCTTTATTTTTTACGTGAATGCCCTGTCTTCATGTACAACTGAATGCCAGAAGAGGGCATCAGATCCCATTACAGATGGTTGAGAGCCACCATGTGGTTGCTGGGAATTGAACTCAGGACTTCTGGAAGAGCAGCCAGTGCTCTTAACTGCTGAGCCATCTCTCCAGCCCCTGGAGGCATTTTTATATATGGCTCCAAATCTTCACCTGGACCAAGAAGTCCCCCACCATGAGTGACACATTCCGAACCCAGCAAAGTCTCCATACAATATTCATCTCTCGAGGTTCACCCTGGACACAGCCATCCAGTGCCAGGACTGAGGTCAGGCTTACAGGTGTCTCTCTTTGCTAAAAACACTAGAGAAAAACTCCAAAGACACGTGATACCACGCACTGGAGAGACGTCGTCTATGTAAGGAATGTGGGGGACCATCAGCCATCCCTCAGCTTTTCGAAGACATAATAACATGCACCTATTCTTTGTTTTTGCTCTTTTGGGGAGCCCACCACCCAGCTCCCAAGTGAATCACACACGGAGGCTTATTCTTAATTATAAATGCCCAGCCTTAGCTTGACTTGCTTCTTGCCAGCTTTCCTTAGCTTTACATTAGCCTGTCTACCTTCCGCCTCTGGACTTTTACCTTCTTCTGTTTCTCTGTATCTTTCTTACTCTGTTGCTGGTTGTGTAGCTGGGTGACTGGCCCCTGAGGTCCTCCTCCTTCTCTTGGTCCTGCTCCCTCTCTCGTTCCTTGATCTTTCTCCTCTCAGATTTCCTCCCAGGAACAAGCCTAAGCTAAGGCCGAGCATTCATAATTAATAATAAGTCTCTGTGTCTTTATTTGGGCTAGTGGCCCAAAGAAAATTCCAACTGCACACATGAGCCCAGCAGTGGTGATGCACACCTTTAGTCCCAGCACTCGGGAGGCAGACGCAGGCAGATCTCTGTGAGTTCAAGGCCAGCCTGGGCTACAGAGCGAGATCCAGGACAGCCAGGGCTACACAGAGAAACTCTGTCTCAAAAACACAAAACAAAAACGACACATGAAATGACACCCTGCAAAAAGCACCAGGCACGCAGTGTGGGTCACCCTGCAAAGGGACTCCTGCACAGTGTTCCAGAGGCAGCTGGACACCGGAGAAGCAATCCCATGAAATTGTGCCGTGGATGGAACCCAGGGCCTTGCACAATGCTAAACAAACATCACTACTGAGCTGCATCCCCAGCCCTGACGTGTGTGTTTTTATTCATGGCTGTGAGTGTGTGCACATGTGTGTGTGCACATGTGCTCGTGCATGTGTAGGGCCATGTGCCCAAATGCAGAGGCTAGAATGAGTGTCAGGGCCCCCTATCAATCCCTTTGAGGCAGACTCTCTCCCTGAACCTGGGCCTCATGTGTTTCTCAACGAGGCCAGAAGCAAGTCCGATGACCCCCATGCCATTGCCCACTCAGAACTAGGGTTGTAAGCCGCAGCAGAAACCCAGCTTTTCCGTGAGTGCTGGGATTCGAACCCCACGTCTCACAATGGGGAGCAAACTGTGTACAGCTTGAGCCGTCGCCGCTACAGCCTCTGTAGTGGGCTTTGAAACACAGCTAGGCTTGAATTATGCTTTGTCTGATGGCAGCCTGTCACAGATTAGAACCACCCGGGTCGGGGGTGCGCCTCAAGAGCTGCCCCGACTGCCCTGACTGGCCTGGAAAGGTCCACGACGTTGACAGCAGCCCAGTTATAAAAAGTTGGTCATGGGAACATCATCTCCCTCTGGCCGCCAGGTTGACCCGCCCACCGCTGCTTTTGGTGGCAGGACCAGTGTCCCCAAGCATGCATCGTGGAATAGGGACCGGTGGCTCTCCAGGAACCTTCTGGTGCCAGATTAGGACTACTGAGGAAGCCCACGTTGTGACATCTACCGGTTGTCAGCCCCCAGTGAGAGACAGCTATGGTGGAATACCGTGACGCCGGGCTCCAGTCTGCAAGACCAGGAACCTGGTTCTCTGTGTGTCTGGTGGCTCTTGGCTGGTGTCACCGTCTTAGAGATGACTTAGTGCATGTGCGCGCACACACACACACACACACACACACACACACACGCACGCACACACACGCATGCACACACAAGCACACGCATGCACGCGCACGCACACAAGCACACACGAACGCCCACACACACACGCACACACATGCACAAGCACACGCACACACGAACACGCATGCACACGCGCACACGCACACAAACGCGCACACACAGCTGTGCTGCTCTAGTGACCCCTGACTGAAACAGCTCAGTTTCCACCCAGTGGATAGTGGGAAATATCTCTTAGGGAGCTGTTTGCACAATGAATGATGGCTTTTATTCAGCTTGAGATTTTCATGAACTCAGTGTAACAAATGTGGGAGCCCGCCCATCACATTTTCTACCTTTCCTGCTGGGATTATTTTACCTATTAAAATAAATTAGAGCAGTTTGTTTTTTGTTTATGAAGTATCAGAAATTCCAAATTATGCAAAACTTGAAAAGCCAACAGTCTTGTGTAGACGGTGCCCTCCCGCATCCCGCATTTGGTGTTTGGTTTGGTGTGATGGTTCAGGGTTTTTTTATTAGTTTGTTTGGTTGGTTTTGTTTTGTTTGTTTGTTTGGTTTTGTTTTGTTTTTATCAACTTGACACAAACTTAGAGGCACCTGGGAAGGGTGAATCTCAACTTGGCCTCTGGGGTATTGTTTGACCTGCCAGGACCCAGCTATGTGTGGCCACCTCTGGGTGAGCCTGGGAACCAGCTGGTGGGAAGCCTCCCCATCCCCCACCCCAGCGCTGGGGCAGGAAGGGCGTCCTCAGGCAGGACCCCACCCAGCCGAGGTTCCAGCTGGAGAAATGAAAAGGCTGACCTGAGTTTCCTGTTCCTAAAGAGCAATTGCAAACAAAAGCTGCCCGGATGTTGTTGTACAGCGGGAAGAGGGGGATGTCCGTCCCAAGCAGGCAGAGTCGTCCACCGGGTACTGGCTTTAGTGGCATGAAGGACCCAAGAGTGACAGTGTCTCTCAGCCTGAGGCTTCAGAGGGCAGTCCCTGTGTAAAAGTCCCTGAGCCCATTGCGGGAAGCTGTAAAAGTGAAGCCTGGGATGCAGTGTAGACCCCATGACGTTGGAGATGGCAGAACCGTGGGACAAGGGTCAGAGAGAGCTGCAGACCCGGTACGGAACCAGCTCCAGAGAGGAGGCGGCAGCCGCAGGGACGGAAGGGGCAGAGCTGTGCACACTTGGACAGCAGACGGGGAGATGCAGGTTTGGAGTTTGCCCAGCTGGTTTTCAGTCTTGCTTTAATCCAGTATTTCCTCGCTCTGTTCCCTTTCCTTCCTATTGGAATGGTAATGTATGTCCTGTGCCAATGTATGTTGGAAGTACGTCATGTCATCTGCTCTTTGTTGTTGTTGTTCTGTTTGGGTTTTCAAGACAGGATTTCTCTGTGCAGCCCTGGCTGTCCTGGATCTCGATCTGTAGACCAGGCTGGCCTCAAACTCACAGAGGTCCACCTGCCTCTGCCTCCCCAGTGCTGGGGTTAAAAGCGTGGGCCAAGCCTGGCTCTTCTCTAGATATTTATGCATGGCTAAAACGTCTCTTTGTACACTTCCCATGGCTCTGGGACCCTGATTCTACCATCTTGCTGGCCACAAGAATGTATTATAGAGATTCAGCTGTGTATTGAAGCTATATTTTGACTGACCAAGGATTCGTCAAATGGGAAGCCATTTATCACAGAATATTTAGTGTTATACAGCTTTAATATTCAGCTGAGCCTTGCTATGAATTTCTTGTGGGCCCATATATTATTAGACCATTTGGCAAACAGTTCAGCTTCTCAGACCTGCTGAACCTCTAGGTAACTAACTCCCCCACTGAGTCTAGGAGACAAGCAGGCAGTAGATGCACAGCTTTGCTTCTTGTGCAAATGAAGCTCAGACCATCCGCTTCCCTCAGGCTAGGGGCATGGCGGAGAGATGGACTGAGGACAATGGGGCTTTTTGCATAGCCAGGTGCAGTAAGGACTGGAGCGGAATTCCAGAGGAGAGACAGAACCGCATGGCCAGAGAGCAGAGGAGGACAGAGGTTGGTAGAGGGTAAAGCAGATCTCTTACAGAGTTTATCAGGGCCAGGGGTAAGGAGCCAGTGTTGTGCCCTGGGTCAAGACCCCCAAGAGACCACCAGAGACATGAACTCACGGAAATGGAAAAGCAAGGTTTATTAAAGCAGTTCAAACCGTGCAACAGGGACCTCAGTCAAGCATCCCAACACAGCGGAGGCTAGAGGAGGTGCCCGCCCCTCTGCAAGCTCAGCTTTTAAAGGCAAAAACCACAAGGTTACATCATTTAGGGGTGCTAGTACGGGTACAATTCTGATTGGCTCAAGTTTTAGGGGCTTTTCAGAATTTCTGTGTTATGTTACTTTGTAGTTTTAACCGGTTGTTTGTCAAACTTTATAGATTACCTCTGGCATTGGGGTACCCTATGTTTAATCAGTTGCTACCAGACGGCTCTTCAAACATCCTGACTTTGTCCTGGGACCCATGTCAGCAGCTCTGAGAATTTTTGAAACTCAGGCCTGTTTCAAGCTGGGGTGAGGGGCTTGCTTGAAATGCGGTTGTAAGGGTTCTGTCCTTAATTACGTCACCATCCTGTGACTTTGTCCCAGCCTAAAAAGCGGGTAGGCCCTCTGTGCGCCCCCTTCTCTTTCCGCTCTCTCCTTCCATCTGTCCTCTCTCTCTCTCCCTCCCTCTCTCTTCCCCCCCCCCTCCAACAAAGCTCTAAAAAGGTAACCATAGCCTGTGATTATTCCAGTCAGCACTCTCCTCTGCCGGCATGGCCACTGCGGGCGGCGGCCAGCCACGAGCAGCACGCCGTTTAACCAACAGCGGGTGCTTTGGTTCTTCACTAGGAAGGCGAGATGGAGGACGAAGGGACAGAGGACGAAGATGAGGTCAAAAGCATAGGAGCTTACTAAAACAATGAGGACAGGAAAAGTGGGCACAGAGAGGAGCTGAATGTGAGGACGGAGCTGAAGCTGTATAGATATAATTTTGTCATAGAGGAACAAAGTAATGGACAAAAAAGCATGGTGTATGTAGATTTCTTTCCCTCAGATAACCCCACACCAGATGTAGGGTCTTTCCCAGGACTCTGGGAGGAATTTCCTCAGGGCAGGCCTTGGGAAAATTCTGTTATCTTTGCTACCACAGGCACTACGTGTGACTTTGTCCCTGGATGGCGCAGCAAGCACGGTGACCCCCTCCCTCCCACAGGTCAGGTCTGGGAGGATTCTGTTACATGGAGCCCAACTATGCAACTCTCAAAGCTGAGTTCAGTTATTACGTTGAATTATGTGTCGCTAGAAATAATACACATTTGGACCAGCAAGAGGGCTCTGTGCATAAAGGGCCTTGCTGCCGAGCCTGATGACCTGAGTTAATTCCCTGGAAAAGAGAGCACCAACTCTTCAGGTTGTTCTCTGCTTTCCACATGCAAGGCATGCCACATGTACCCCCAACTAACACACCATCCAACCAAAGCAACCAAACACAGTCAACTAACTCACCATCCAACCAAAGCAACCAAACACAGTCAACTAACTCACCATCCAACCAAAGCAACCAAACACAGTCAACTAACTCACCATCCAACTAAACAAATTAATAGATACATAAGAGAGCTATTCATGAGCTGAGGAGACGGCTCAGCAGTTAAAAGTCCTTACCCCACTAGCAAAGGACTAGCCTTCACATATCCAGAATGTACATAAGTTGCACATGGTATGGCAGCCTACCTTTAATTCCAGCCTTGGAAGGGTTGACAGGGGACCCGGTTTCATTGCAAGGCCCCAACTTAAAGACCTAAAGTAGAGAGAGATGGAAAAAGAATCCAACAATAACCTGAGACATGGTCTCATGTAGCCTAGGCTGGCCCCAAACTCACTGTAGACAAGGATGACCTGGGACTACTGATTCTCTGGTGTCCTTCTCTCCAGGGCTGGGATGCTGGGTGTGCACCACCATGCCTGTTCCTGTGGAGCCGGGCAGGCAGCCTCGGCACCATGGTTCACTCACTGGAGCTTAAAGGAAATGCCCCTTGCACCCTCTTCATTGGAACGCTGGGAAAGGCAGCTGCAGGCGACATCCCACTCATCAAGGGCCCCAACGGCTGTGGGATGTTTGTGCACTGTGTGAAGGTGGACTGCTGTGACTGTATCAAAGACTGTTGGGACCCAGCCTCTAAGTCTTCTTCCCAGGGTTTCCAGAAGAGTCTGAGGGAAAAGAATCCAAGCACACCCAGCTCTTTAGTCCATTCACTTTATTCTTCTCATACAAAACTCCGTCTCCACAGCATCAATTCTGTTCTCATACTTAGCTCCTCTCTGTCCCTTCTGTCCTCTCACGGTTCTAAGTTCTTTCTGTCCCATTCTCATCTTCTCCCTCCTTCCTGCCTCTATCTCTTCCTCTCCTCTTCCCATGACCTGTGCCCCTACACCTACCCTGCCACTTTCTGCTCGGCCGGGTAAGTCGGCCTGCAGCTAGGAAATCTGCCTCATCGCTTCACTCCACCTGGTCTCGAAAAACCATTTTCCTGAGTTCATTGTCTGAGGGGAAATCTGGGGGTGCCGCTAAGGCTGTGTAAGAAAGAGGGTCTGAACTTAATTTGCACAAGAAACAAAGCTATGCACCTAGGGTCCCCCTGACCTAGGCGGTGTCTCCATGTGGGCATTTACCTAGCAGGTGGTCTGGAATGCTATACTGTCTGTCATTTGTCCTTGGATTTGGGCTAAAGGAGCTGGCCCTGGCTTTGTGTGCTTGCTAAAGGAGAATATTGCAGAAGGCAGACTTCTGAATTCTAATGCTAAAAAGGAGCAGAAAGCCTGGAAGCAGGAAGCTTTGCCTGTGTGACTATATCCAAATACCTTAGTTGTATATGCCCAGGGAATGATCAATCTACACTGTTTAGAAGTTCTTGACATGAGAGCACACATGGAATTCATAGCAGAAAACAGCTGATATATTAAAAGCCAAATACTCCTTGAGACTTGGCCTCCTCTGGGAGAATTCCTTGATTCTTCCAGGTAATGGCTTTGCCATTGTCAGCTGAATTCTTACTTCAGATTCCTGCATCATGATTGGTATAACAAAAAGTTGGACAGCCAATAGGCAGGACTTCAGGGCAGAGAGGACTCTGGGAAGAAGGTGAGATCGCCAGCCAGAAGCAGAGGAGAGTAGCATGAGCAGCATGGAGAGATGAGGTAACAGTCACTTGACAGACTGCAGATTAATAGGAATGGGTTAATTTAAGTTATAAGAACTAGTTAGGGCCGGGCAGTGGTGGCGCATGTCTTTAATCCCAGCACTCGGGAGGCGGAGGCAGGCAAATCTCTGTGAGTTCCAGGCCAGTCTGGTCTACAGAGTGAGATCCAGGAAAGGTGCAAAGCTACACAGAGACACCCTGTCTCAAAAAACAGAAACAAAACAAAACAAAACAAAAAACTAGTTAGGAAGAAGGCTAAGCTTATAGGCCGAGCTTTCATATTTCATTAATATAAGTATCTGTAGGTTATTTGGGGGCTGGCTGGTGGGACAGAGAATGACCCATTACACCTAACTTGTAAAAATGTGAATTCTCTTGAGAGGAGAGGAACTGAACTGAGGATGCTCTTAGAAGGGTTCCTGCAAAACCAACTGTCAAGGAATGCCGGTTCCAGATTCAGCAACCAAGGCACACAGGGGTCACTGCATCTGCTGTAGGGGAACAGGGCAGGCTACGTCCTGCTCTTCCCGCACTGTCCACATGCTGCTGGTTAACAGGCACACGAGGATGCAAGATTGAATGAAGGCCCCAAGGGGTCTCCGTGGCTTCAGGGAGTGGCCAAGGCCAGGCCATTTGTGGCAAGGTCTGCAGCCCTGAAGGAGGCCCTGAGAGTTCACTGTGTGAAGCTTTGAAGGTGAAATATATCAATAGACACAAAATAGAGCTGGTCCACAGACCAGGCCAAGTGCATTGTGGGCAACAAAGCTGGAGGGGTGGGACCATATCTTAGTCAGTGTTCTATGCTGTGAGGAGACACCATGACCACACCAACTCTTACAAAAGGAAGCATTTAATCAGGGCTGGTCTACAGTTCAGAGGGTTGGGCTGGGTGTGGTGGTGCACGCCTTTCATCCCAGCACTGGGGAGGCAGAGACAGGAAGATCTGTGAGTTTGAGGCCATCCTGGTCTACAAATTGAGTTCCAGAACAGCTAGGGCTATTCCACAGAGAAACCCCTGTCCCAAAAAACCAAAATTAAAAAACAAACAAACATTTTCAGAGGGTTAGTCTGAGATCATCACGGCGGGGAATAGACAAGCATGGTGCTGGAGCAGTAGTAAGTAGCTGAGAACTTCACACCCTGATCCACAGGCAGCATGCAGAGAGAGATACTGGGCCTGCTGTGGGGGCTTCTGAAACCCCAAAGCCCACCCCAGTGACACACCCACTCCAGCAAAGCCACACCCCCTCTGGAAAGGCCACACTCCCAATACTTCCCAAACAGTTCCACTAACTGACTAAGCGTTCAAACATGAACCTATGGAAGCTGTTCTCATTCAATACACCATAGACCACTTGACCCTTTTGGAGCCCAAATGATCCTGTCCGAGTTCCAGGTGGCAGACATGGAGTTATGGGGTAGGGGCTGTCCTACAGTGTTCCCGTTTTCTTCGGTCTTATTATTCTTAGATGTGACCCCATTCCTCCCTCCTGGAATAGGAATATTTCTTCTGTGCCAATGTCTGTTGCAAATGTGTAGCTTAATTTTTTTAATTGTACTCACAGGTAAGAGATTACCTGGAGTTTAAGATGTGAATTGTGAACTTGAAAAAATTATTACTTTTATGTGCATGGGTGTTTGTGGTGGTTTGAAAGAAAATGGCCCCCAGAAGGTTTCAGGCACTATTAGGAGGTATGACCTTGTTGGAGTACGTGTGGTCTTGTTGGAGGCAGTGTGTTGCTGTGGGGATGGGCTTTGAGATCTCATACATGCTCAAGATACCACCCAGTGTCTCAGACTACTTCCAGTTGCCTGCAAGATATAGAACTCTCAGGACCTCTCCAGCACCATGTCTGCCTGCACACTGCCATGTCCCACCATTGATGATAATGGACTGAACCTCTAAAACTGTAAGCCACCACCTCAATTAAATGTTGTCTTTTATAAGAGTTGCTGTGGCCAGGCAGTGGTGGCACACGCCTTTAATCCCAGCACCTGGGAGGCAGAGCCAGGTGGATCTCTGTGAGTTCAAGGCCAGCCTAGTCTACAGAGCGAGATCCAGGACAGGCGCAAAGCTACACAGAGAAATCCTGTCTCGAAAAACCAAAAAAAAAAAAGGGGGGGGGGGGTTGCCGTTGTCATGGTGTCTCTTCACAGCAATAGAAACCCTAAAACCATATTTTAAAATGTATGTCTATACACCATGTGAATGCAGTACCAACAGGCCAGAAGAAGACATCAGACTCCCCTGGACTGGAGTTACGTTTGCAAGCCACCATGTGGTGCTGGGATCTTAACCCAGTTCTCCGCAAAAGCAACAAATACTCGTAACTGCTGAGCCCCCTCTCCTGCACACACACATGGATACCGCCATCTTTTTTCAGACAGGGTCTCAGGTCGTCTAGAGCAGCCTTCGCTACCACAGAGGTTGAGACCAACTTGAGACACACGAGAATTTGCAAAATAAAATAAGACTGTAATAGTCAGGGCTGTGCAGATGTCTCAGGGCACAAAGCCCTCGTGCAAGCATGAAAACCTGAGTTCTGATTCCTACAAACACATAAAAGCAGGTGTGGCCGTCTACATCTGTAACCCCAGTGCCGAATGGGTGGAGACAGGAGAATTTCCGGGGCTCAGTGGACAGTCAGCCAGGTGAAACCAAGAGATTCAGATTCAGGGAAAGAGCAAAAAGTGAGGGTTGGGGATTTAGCTCAGTGTTAGAGTGCTTGCTTAGCAAGTGCAAGGCCCTGGGTTTGATCCTCAGCTCAAAAAAAAAATAAATAAAAAATAAGGGGAAAAAGTGAAGAGGGGCTGGCGAGATGTTTCAGTGGGTAAGAGGGTTTACCACACAGGTGTGAGGACCCGACTTTGAATCCCCGGCACCAAGCATGCCCATGTGGCCCTGTGACCCCAGTGCTGTGGGAGACTGGAGGATTGCTGGGGCTGCCGGCTTAGTTTGCAGTGCAGAGAAAGACCATGCGTCAAAGGAATAAGGCTGAGTGTGAGCGATCGGGACACCAATGCCCTTTTCTGCCCTCCATGCATGCACAAGTGCACCTTCACAATGCACATGTGTGTGAGCATGTGTAGACACACAAAAAGTGGAGAACAAAAGAACGAACCACCCATGTTGATCTCTAGTCTTCATGTGCACACACACACACACGCACGCACGCACGCACGCACGTACGTTAATGTGCATGCACCTACACATGAGCTGTCAATCAAGGGAACTGGGTGGGCCCTGGTGTCAATGTGAGGCTCCAGCTGGAGAATGATGCAATCAGCAGCCCTGAAGACAGGACCAGACTGTCAATCAGATGTTAGCATCAAGGGAGCCATCTAGTCAGGTCCTGGGACTGGGATTCCCCAGCCAGAGCCACTGCAGATGTTTATGAAGTTCCTCTGTTTTTATGAGCATGGTGACTTCAGGGAGGGAGCCACAGCAGGACCCTTGGTAATTTGTGGTTACTGCCCAGGCGGTGGTGGCGCACGCCTTTAATCCCAGCACTCGGGAGGCAGAGGCAGGTGGATCTCTGTGAGTTCGAGTCCAGCCTGGGCTACAGAGTGAGATGCAGGACAGTCAGAGATACTGAGAAACCCTGTCTCAAAAACAAAAAACAAAAAAGTTTACCTTCAGCAATACAGGCACACTTCTACTTACAGAACAAAACCCAAAGTAAATACTGACATGGGACAAAACAGGATGTTTATTAAATCTTTTTCTCAGAAACATAACAAGACACTACAGCCCTATGACTCTCTACTATGACTGAGGCACTTAGAAAAGGAAAAGGGGCTGGGTTCGGGCTGGAACTGCTAGCAGAATACTCGTCTAGCATACGTGGCAGGCCCTGGGTTTGATCCCCAGCACCCCCTAAATGAAGAAAAGAAAACCAAGGTTATGCCATATTAATAATAAAAAAGAGGAGCTAGAGAGATGGCCCAGAGGTAAAGGATGTGCACTGCTCTTGTAGAGGACCTACGTCATTCCCAGCAGTCACACTGAGTGTTCACACTCACCAGATCCACAGGATCTGACCCCTCTAGCCTCCAAAGACAATGTACCCACTTGCACACACACACACACACACACACACACACACACACACAAACTAAAAAGAAAACAAGCCTTTCTTTAGAAATAAAGAAGGCCAGGTGTGTTTTGTGCACATTTGTGGGAGACAGAGGTTGGGGGAGGGCTCGTCTAAAGCTTGAGTCTCTCTCGGGCAACATAGTGGGATCCTCCCTCAGGGAGCTTGTGAGGGATGTCTGCCTCCTCTGAGGTCTCACAAAAAAAGACGAGGGTCGGGCAGCGGTGGCGCACGCCTTTAATCCCAGCACTCGGGAGGCAGAGGCAGGAGGATCTCTGTGAGTTCGAGGCCAGCCTGGTCTACAGAGCGAGATCCAGGACAGGCACCAAAACTACACAGAGAAACCCTGCCTAGAGAAAAAAAAGAAGAAAGAGAACAATGAGGTGACACAGCCAGGGTTTTCTGGGGCCTCCAAGTGATGTTTCTTCCCAGTGTGCTTTTCTCCACTCACCAGAGGACACTTTTCACACCCATGGTGATCTATCTGTGTGGGCTGAGCCCAAGACCCTGGGCTATGCTTGTCTGACACCCCATCACAGGGCCACACTCCAGCGGTGGCCTCTTAAATGTTCTTTCGAGCATGAATTTTTGTGTGTCCTATAAGGGCAGGGAGAGACATGAAGGCTTTCCCACACTGCTTGCACTCATAGGGCCTCTCCCCGGTGTGTGTCCTCACGTGTGCGCGGAGGGACGAGGAAGAGCGGTATGCTTTCCCACACCTGCTGCACAGGTAGGGCCTCCCGTCCCTGTGGGATTTCATGTGCTTGTGGAAATACTGAGAGTGACTGAAGACTTTGTCACACAGCTCACATGCATATGGCTTCTCGCTGCTGTGTGTCCTGACGTGCTCACGAAGGGAAGACCGGGAAGCCAAGGCTTTCCCACACTGCGGGCATTCATAAGGTCTCTCCCCGGTGTGTGTTCCCACGTGGATGCGGAGGGATGCGAAGAAGCCGAAGGCCCGCCCGCACTGCGCGCACGTGTATGGTCTGGCCCCACTGTGCATCTTCAGGTGCGTCTGGAAGTAGGCGTGGCAGCTGAAGGTCTTCCCACACTGCTCACACAGGAGGGACTCGAGCCCAGCGTGTTTCCTCGAGTGCGCCCTCAAGGACGCGGGATACCGGAAGGTTCTGCCACACTCCCTGCACTCATACGGCTTCTCCTCGCTGTGTGACCTCCCATGTTCCCTGAGGGAGGAGTAGCAGGAGAAGGCTTTGCCACAGTGCTGGCACACGTGCGGCCTCTCCCCGGTGTGCGTCCTCATGTGGTCTCGGAAGGATGACCGACAGGTGAAGGATTTCCCGCACTTTACACACTCGCGGGGACCCTCTCCGTTGTGCAGCCTCATGTGATCCCGGAAGTGGGAGGGGGATCTGAAGGCTTTCCCACACTCTTCACACCCGAAGGGCCGCTCTCCGGTGTGCGTCCTCATGTGCCGTTTGAGGTAGGAGTGGAAGCTGAAGGCCTTCCCACACGTGTCACAGGCATGACTCTTCTCGCCTTTGTGACTTCTCATATGTCTCTTAAGGGAGTAGGGACAGGAGAACACAGTCCTACATTGTATACATTCCAGAATCTTTGTCCTGCTAGGAGTCTGGATGTTTTTCTCAGACTTTTTCCTGGAGTCCCGACGCTTGTAGGCGCTCTCCTGGACTTCAGTCTCCATCCGCGGGGGCTGGCACAAAGGACAACTCCCACAGCCCTCACAGGGAGGTGACGCGTGTCTGGTGAAAGGCATTTTCTGGTTCTTGGAGGCTTTCTTGGACCTTGTGCCTTCACTGGGTCCTCCTGCATCTGGGACACTACAGGACACAGCAGGAGCCTCGGCCTGGCTGGAGGCACCTCCATCTGCACAGGGTCCGTCCACCAAAGGACTGCTGCCATCAGGAGCCTCGGCCTGGCTGGAGGCACCTCCATCTGCACAGGGTACGTCCACCAAAGGACTGCTGCCATCAGGAGCCTCGGCCTGGCTGGAGGCACCTTCATCTGCACAGGGTCCGTCCACCAAAGGACTGCCATCAGGAGCCTTGGCCTGCCTGGAGGCACCTCCATCTCCACAGGGTCCGTCCACCAAAGGACTGCCATCAGGAGCCTCGGCCTGCCTGGAGGCACCTCCATCTCCACAGGGTCCGTCCACCAAAGGACTGCCATCAGGAGCCTCGGCCTGCCTGGAGGCACCCCCATCTGCACAGGGTCCGTCCACCAAAGGACTGCCATCAGAGGCCTCGGCCTGCCTGGAGGCACCCCCATCTGCACAGGGTCCGTCCACCAAAGGACTGCCATCAGAGGCCTCGGCCTGCCTGGAGGCACCCCCATCTGCACAGGGTCCGTCCACCAAAGGACTGCTGCCATCAGGAGCCTTGGCCTGCCTGGAGGCACCTCCATCTGCACAGGGTCCGTCCACCAAAGGACTGCTGCCATCAGGAGCCTCGGCCTGCCTGGAGGCACCTCCATCTGCACAGGGTCCGTCCACCAAAGGACTGCCATCAGGAGCCTCGGCCTGCCTGGAGGCACCTCCATCTGCACAGCGTCCGTCCACCAAAGGACTGCCATCAGGAGCCTCGGCCTGCCTGGAGGCACCTCCATCTGCACAGCGTCCGTCCACCAAAGGACTGCCATCAGGAGCCTTGGCCTGCCTGGAGGCACCTCCATCTGCACAGGGTCCGTCCACCAAAGGACTGCCATCAGGAGCCTCGGCCTGCCTGGAGGCACCTCCATCTGCACAGCGTCCGTCCACCAAAGGACTGCCATCAGGAGCCTCGGCCTGCCTGGAGGCACCTCCATCTGCACAGCGTCCGTCCACCAAAGGACTGCCATCAGGAGCCTCGGCCTGCCTGGAGGCACCTCCATCTGCACAGCGTCCGTCCACCAAAGGACTGCCATCAGGAGCCTCGGCCTGCCTGGAGGCACCTCCATCTGCACAGCGTCCGTCCACCAAAGGACTGCCATCAGGAGCCTCGGCCTGCCTGGAGGCACCTCCATCTGCACAGCGTCCGTCCACCAAAGGACTGCCATCAAAAGCAGGAAGAACAGTTAAGGGGTCATGAGGGATGACACATAACTTCAATGTTCAGAGTTTTGTTTAAGATAGTGTCTTGTGCCAGGCAGTGATAACGCACGCCTTTAATCCCAGCACTCGGGAGGCAGAGGCAGGCGGATCTCTGAGTTCAAGGCCAGCCTGGTCTACAGAGGGAATTCCAAGACAGCCAGGGCTACACAGATAAACCCTGTTTCAAAACAAAACAAAACAAAAACAAACAAACAAACAAAACCCCCAAAAAAACAAAAATTGTCTTGCCTGCTATGTGGCCTCCAACTCTGTACGCCCCCACCTCAGTCTCCTGAGCTCTGAATAGCAGGTGTGTGCTACTTCACACAGCCTACTGACTGGTGCCTGTTGACTCTGTTACAGACTAGGCACACTTTCAGCACTGTCTGCCTTGGTGTCTATTTTTAAAAATCTTGTCCGGGGTATCATGGGTATGTAGGGGACATCCTTCCATCTTTACAAGGATTCCAGGGATCAAACTCAGGTTGCCAGGCACACATGTCAATCACCTTCATCTGCTGAGCCACCCCAGAGCACTACCTGTCTTGCCTGACGTAGATGTTCCCACTGCATGTTCCATCAGAGCAATGAACGATGGCATCTATGGCCTAAGAGTAAACTCGAATGAATTATGATTCAGATATGTGACACTGTTACCAGACTCACAAAATACTTTCTTGGCTGGGCATGGTGGCAGAGGCAGATGGATCTCTGAGTTCGAGGCCAGCCTGGAATACAGAGTGAGTTCCAGGACAGCCAGGACTACACAAAGAGACCCTGTCTCAAAAAAACAAACAAAAACAAACAAACAACAAAAAAAAAGAAAGTTCTCTGTGCACACACATTTGCATTTTTTAATTTTTAAAAATACTTGTATTACGTCGAGGAGACGGCTTCGTGGATAAAGGCACTCACTGGCAAGCCTGCTGGCTGGCTTGAGTTCAGTCCTTGAAGACACAAATATAGTTTGTGTTTGGAGACAGGGTCTCTCCACATAGCCCTAGTTGGCCTAGAACTCGCTATGGAGACCAGGCTGGTCTCGAATTTACCAACATTCACCTGCCTCTGTCTCTTGAGTCCTGGGGCTAAGGGCATATGCAACATGCCTGGCCTCCTGACATTACATTTTGAATCCATCAAAGGATTAATAAACTGATGTACTGGCTGATTTTGCGTCAACCCAACATAAGCTGGAGTCATCAGAGAAGAAGGAGCCTCAGCTGAGGAAACGCCTCCATGAGATCCACTGTAAGGCATTCTTCTCTCAGTTAGTGATCAATGGGGAGGGTCCAGGTGGGACCATCCCTGGGCTGCTGGTCCTGGGTTCTATAAGAAAGCAGGCTGGCCGGGTGGTGGTGGCGGCGCGGCGGCGCACGCCTTTAATCCCAGCACTCGGGAGGCAGAGCCAGGCGGATCTCTGTGAGTTCGAGGCCAGCCTGGGCTACCAAGTGAGTCCCAGGAAAGGCGCAAAGCTACACAGAGAAACCCTGTCTCGAAAAACCAAAAAAAAAAAAAAAAAAAAAAAGAAAGAAAGCAGGCTGAGACACATGGAACAAGCCAGGCAGCAGCACCCTCCACGGCCTCTGCATCAGCTCCTGCCTCCGGGTTCCTGCCCTGCTTGAGTTCCTGTCCTGCATTCCTTTAGTGATAGCGAAGTGTAAGTCGAATAAACCCTTTCCTCCCCAACTAGCTTTTTGGACACAGTGTTTGGTCTCAGCAATAAAAGCCCTAATTAAGACAATTAATTAAGGTGTTCACATGACCCGGCACCTCTGGAAACACCCTCACAGATACATCCAGAAGGGAGTTTTAGGGATGACTTCCTACGGCTTTATCTGATCAGCTTGACACCACGGACCACCACATGTGCGCTGACCATCAAGTCTACAATTCCCTCACATCTGGAGTCCATTCATATCTACTAAGATTGCATGTCCAGATGCAAATGAATCTGTGTGTGTGGAGGGGAGAGACCAGCTGGGGTCTTCCCCAGTCACGCTCCGCTCCTGATTCGGCGGCAGACTGGACAGCAAGCCCCATGGGTGCACAAGCACTAAGATCTCCCCGCCTCGGCGCAGGGCGCCCTCACCTCAGATGCCTGTCCTGGCCTTGCTGCCCGGCTGCAGAGTCATGGGTTTGGCGGCCTGCGTATTTGATGATGTCGCCGTCGATCCGTTGGATTCGTTTGTTCTCCATGCGATGCTGCTATGGGCTCGACCGCTGTCTTCACCTCGACTGCAGGGATCTGAAGCAGCGCCAATGCCACTCTGACGAAGAAATGGCAAAATGAGCAAAGACGGACCTCCCTGCTGTTCCTGGCACAGGCCCACCCAGGACTGTGAGTGGGCGAGTGTGGCTTGGTGGGAGAGCCCTTGCCTCGTGTGAGTGAGGTCCTCAGCTCTATCACTGGTACAGAGATCGAGAACAGAGAGAGAGAGGATGGGAAGGAGGGGAGAGGGGAGGGAAGGGTAAGGGACCTCACATTGCTAGAATGCCCGCACAGACAAAACTTGGTGAACCTAGAACTGCAGACGAAATCAAGTGTTGGGCCTGGAGAGTCGGATCAACCTGTAAGGCGCTTGCCACTCAGGCATGAGGACCTGAGTTCAGTCCCCAGCAGGGAGGACGGAGAGGGATGGCTGGCCCTGCCCCAGAAAACAAGTTGGGGAGCATAAAGAAAGAGGGAGCTGTGGGCTGGAGAGATGGCTCAGTGGTTAGGAGCAGTGGCTGCTCTTCCAGAGGACCTGGGTTCAATTCCCAGCACCCACATGGCAGCTCACAGCTGTCTGGAACTCCTGTTCCAGGAGACCTGATTCCATTAAACAAACGTATATGCAGGTAAAACACCAAATGCACATAAAAATAAATAAATTATTTAGAAAGAAATAAGAGAAAGGGGGAGTTGATGGTCATTAGATGCTCGCACAAGGGCTGGGGAAGGGTAAGGGGTGAAAACAGCCACCGTCTTAGACCTGCACAAAGATGCGAAGAATAATAAATGAGCTTAAAACTTTAATGTTGCAGATATTATTTTAACGAGGCAGAGGCGTGCTACACTTGTTTATGCTGCAGAATATTTAACTGTGTAAAGGTGTGTTACTTTTATGTTGCGTTTGTTTAATTATGAAAAGCTGTTGCACCTTGCCTGTCTAGGGCACCTGATGGTCTGATAAAGAGCTGAACGACCAATAGCCGGGCAGAGAAAGGATAAGAGGGGCTAGCAGAGAGAACAAATAGGAGGAGAGATCTAGGCTTGAGAGAGAAGAACAAAAAGAGGAGGAGGAGGAGGGACGCACCTGGGGCAAGAAGTCAGGCAGCCGCCAGCCACAGAGACGCAGTGCCAGTAAGATACACAGAAGGTAACAAGCCCTGAGGTGAAAAGTAGATAAAGAAAACCAGGTAAAGTTAAAGGAGCTACCAGAAGCATGCCTATGCTAGGCCGAGCGGGCATTCACAACTGATAATAAGTCACTGTGTCATGATTTGGGAGCTGGTTGGTGGCCCAGGAAAGCAGAGTATGAAGGAAAACACAGGATCTGGACCTCTGGCCCTCACGAGTGGCCAAAGCTTTGTTCCCATGGGATCTCTGCGAGTTCAAGGACAGCCTGGTCTACATGAGAGACCCTAGCTCTAAAAAAAAAAAAAAAACAAACAACAAAAACCCAAAATTATCAATTTTAAATGTCCCCTAATTCTTGTTTCCTCAGTGAGCCTTTGTATTCCATACTGTCGAATGCTGGCCAGACTCTTTTCAAATGGATTCCAAGTTTTAAAATAAATAAATTTAACCGGGCATGGTAGAACATGCCTTTAGTCCTAACAGTAGGGAAGCAGAGGCAGGCAGATCTACAGAGAGATCCAGGACAGCCAGGGCTGGCTACACAGAGAAACCCTGTCTGAAAACAACAACAAAAGATTAAGTCTGTGTGTGCGTGTGTTTGTGCGTGTGTTTGTGCACCTGAACCCAGGTGCCTGGGGAGGGCAGAAGAGGGAGCTGGATCCCCCAGAACTGGACTTCCTGGCAACTATGGCCGCAGTGTGGGTGCTAGGAACCAAACTCAGACCCTGTGCAGTAAGTCCTGAGTGTCTCTTCAGCCTCCCAACAAAGGCACCCGGGGCTCCTGACGACAGGCTGGTGGCAGGTCACGGTGTGGGCTGCAGCCCCTCCCAGCCCTGGGGAACTCCTCCCAGGCTTGCGAGCGTAACCATTAAATTCGTGTCCGTCCTCCCACACCACCTCCGGGGCCGGAGACCCGTCCTTGTGACCAAAGTCCCCTGCTCCCGAAGTCCAACTCCCCCCGGTAATTTATTCTTGCGGCCCAGGCCGGCCTCCCACTTGTGGCAATCCCACTGCCTCGGATTTGCCGCTGCTGGGCTGCACTGCACACATTCGATTTTGCCGCGTGTCGGGAGGGTTCAGCCCAGTTTCCCAACCCCTTCGTCCCACACAGTGGCCTCAGAGCCGACTCCGGGCCACGGGGGCCGTGTGCCCTCCCGCGGCCCACTCACCAGCCTCCGCGTGGCCCGGGCCGGTGCAGCGGTTTGTGGAGAGATTGATAGCGGCAGCCGCGACGCCCCGCCTCCCGACCCTGGTTGGCCTCGGGCTAGACTGCATTGTGATTGGGTGGCTCTCCTGGGACCCGCCCTCCGCGGCCTGACGGACAGGTGCTGGGCTCTGCTCCGAACCAGACTTTCCTTGCCACGCCCCTGGAAACTTGATTGACAGCCCTTTGCTGGCACGTGATCTTTGCGGCTGGGCTAACCTGGGGGCCGCTTGGCTCCCCCTTCCCGCCTGCTTCCCATTCAGGCAGGGCCGTGAAGGGCCTGGACAAGGCCGGCGTCCTGGTGGGCTGCAGTGTGTCACCAGGTTGCCCGGGCCCCGGAGGCCCCGGAGGCCCCGGAGGCCCCGTTCAGCCCGCAGGACGCGGCTGGGCTGGCCTGGCACCCGCCTCTCACCCTGGCGCTCGGGGAGTGGAGGCGGGGCGGTCAGCGCTGGAGGACAGTCCGGGCCACACGGTGGGACCCGTTCAAGGCCCGCGGGTCACACCACGGACGCCCCGGCTTGTTGGGTCATTTAAACCGCATGGGCGCCGGGGCACGAGCGACGCAAACTCTGGGTTCGATCCCCGGAGCCGCAAACGAAGAACGTGGGCCGGTGCGGTCGGTGCACGGCCTCTCGGGGACACAGCGGTGGGGCCCGAGGTTCCCCCGGCCGGGGTCGCACGGCGGTGCCGGGCGCCGGGGACCCGCCAGCCTCAGCCGCGTGCCGCAGGGGCCGTGGGACCCTGTCTCAAGCACAGGGAAGAGGGGGTGGTGGAAAGGGCTCCAGGGGACGGATCCTCAGGGCTGCCCCGGTCTCCACGCGCGCAAAGACACGGTCGAGAGCTGCATTTGTGCAGAAGTGGCATCCGGACCGTCAGCCCTCCCGGAGGCTCAGCGGGGACGGACTGTTAACCCAGGACCGCACACACCCTCCCGGCCTCCACTACATCTCGGGGGTGGGGTGGGGGGCAATAAAAAAACAATATGACCCCAGAGAACTTCTTCCACCCCGTGGGCGCCAGGGCTCGACCTCAGTTCATCACGCTTGGCCGCAAACACCTTCCTCCACTGAGCCCTAGGGTCGGCCTTTCTTTCTTTCTTTCTTTTTTAAAGATTTATTTATTTATTATGTACACAGTGTTCTGCCTGCATGTATGCCTGCAGGCCAGAAGAGGGCACCAGATCCCATTACAGATGGTTGTGAGCCACCACGTGGGTGCTGGGAATTGAACTCGGGACCTCTGGAAGAGCAGCCAGTGCTCTAACCGCTGAGCCATCGCTCCAGCCTCTTTATTTATTTTTAATATTTATTTACTTGTGTGTATGTTTCTTGAGGTAGCGCCAGGGCACATCTCCAGATGCTCCTTATAACCTTGCAACAGCGACCGTCGCTGCCTCCGAGTCCCGGGCGCCGGGCTGACGCGCATGCGCAGCCCAGTCACCGCCAGTTCCCATGGAAACCGCACCGTCGCGTCCCCCGCGCGGCCCCGTGGGAACCCACGCATTTCGTCCTGCGCGGACGCGCTACCTCGCACCCTAATCCAAAGTCACGCCCTCCCGCGGACTCGGATGACACCCCCCCTTACAACCAAATCCGCAGCTCGCGCCTGCGACCGCGGCACCGGAAGTTCTTTCCCTGCCCTTTGACCTCCGTCCTCGACCTTTGACGTTTGGGTCGTAGGCGTCGCCCCCGCGTACACGCGGTTCTGGACACGTAAGTCAGAAGAGGAGTAAGACCGTGGCGGCAGAGCAACTTATTTCCGCTTCCGGACACCTTACAGTCGGCCCTAACATCCAGTTCCGGTCATTCTCAGCATCCTGCCCAGGTTCCACACGGCTTCCGGTTTCGGTCCGGAAGAACTTCCGATTGTCTTCCCGGAACCGGAAGCGGAAGGAAGTCTGACTATGTGGTGAACTCTTGACGGTGGGCGGGGCCGCTCAACCCTCCACTAGCCGACCGGAGCCGCCAGTGCCCGCCTCTGCTCGAATACGATTGGAGGGTGCGGCTGTCAAAAGCCCATCGGAAGTAGATAGGCCGGTGGGCGGGGTTAGCCTTGACACCGCCCCCAGGGCGCGGCTGTGAGCGGCGTTCGGCCCGGCGGGCCTTTTCCGGATGCCCGGATGCTCAGTCGCCGATCGATGATGCTTAGACTCGGCTCCGCTGGGTGGCTCGGCCCGTGGGGACGCTTGCAGCCCAGCCTGAGGCCCGCAGTTCGATTCCCAGGGGGTGGACGTTGGGACCTGAGTCCCTCTGGCTCTCTTCGACTCTCACGCCCACGCATGTACTCAAAATAGATGGGTTTGAGAGACGCTCAGCGGTTAGCGCACCGGCTGCCCCTGCAGGGGACCCGGGTTCGTTTCCCAGCAGGGTTACTGCTCATTGTGCACAGATGCGCAGGTCGCACACGCACAGCGCACAGCGCACTCCCTCGTGGGGCCGCATTCCCTGCAAAGCACACAGTGTGACCAACGCATTCCTCCTGACTCCTTTTCTGTCAATCTCTTTCACTTTGTTTCCCACCCTGTCGGATGACAGGCAAGGTCTCTGCAGGCCCAGCCCCAGCCCGCCCACTCCCCCACTTACCCACCCCCAGCACTCCCAGCCCCCCAGCCCACTCCCCACCCTAACCCACCCCCAGGCACTCACCCATCCCCCCCCCAGCCCGCCCCTCACCCCCCCAGCCCCTTCCCTCCCTGGAAGCCTGCACTGTCCGGCTCCGACCAGCAGATGGCACCCGCGCTCCCCTCCGCGCACCACCTTGAGCTGGGGCTGAACCCCGCAAAGGTTCCAAAACAGTGGCGACCCCCGCGGTGACGACCGGGGTCACCCTATACAAGACTCCCCAAAGTGCTGGCGTGTCCCTAACCAACGCCTGCTCCCCAGACTGCACCCGGGAGCAGGCGCGAGCCAAGGAGAGCCTCGAACTCTTGGAGCCGGAGAGGGGGCGGGACACAGGGGCCTCCTCCTCTGGGACGGGGGATGGGTGGAGGACACAGAGGGGGCCTTTGCATCTGAGACGGGGATGGGGGACACAGGGGCCACCGCGTCGGGGACTGGGGCGGGGCACCGCCTCAGGGACGGGTCCCTGACAAGCCTGGCTGTTTGCCTCTCCGCCCTGCCCACCTGTCTGACTGGGAACCCAGCTACAGTGATTCCCAGAAGCTGAGTCAGGAGGATCACAAAGTCCTCGTGCATTCTTTTAAGAATAAATTTTCAAATAAAATAAAATGGACTGGGCAGTGGTGGCGCACGCCTTTAATCCCAGCACTCGGGAGGCAGAGGCAGGCGGATCTCTGTGAGTTCGAGGACAGCCTGGTCTACATAGTGAGTTGCAGGGCAACCAGGTTCACACAGAGAAACCTTGTCACAAAAGCTGCAATAAATAAAAGTTTTAAGAAAATAAATACGGGGCTGGAGAGATGGCTCAGAGGTTAAGAGCACTGACTGCTCTTCCAGAGGTCCTGAGTTCAATTCCCAGCACCCACATGGTGGCTCACAACCATCTGTAATGAGATCTGGTGCCCTCTTCTGACCTGCAGTCATACATGCTGTATACATAATAAATAAATAAATCTTAAAAAAAAAAAAAAAGAAAGTAAATACGATAAAATAATAAAATGACACAATAGCATTAAAAATTAAGTCAATAAATGAAATGAAAAAAGACAATACAATAAACAATATAAAATGCAAAATAGTAAGAGTACATTGAAAATGGTCCCGGAGAGATGAATTAGCACTTAGGAGCACTTCCGGCTCTTCAGGCGACCCAGTGCAATGGTATCTCCACAGACACCCACGTGACTCCAGCTGCACGATCTCAGACGCCCTCTCTGGCCACCGCAGAAAACTGCACTCTCATGCACACAGCCCACCATACACACAATTAAAACTGATCAAATCAATATTAAAAATTAAGATCATAACAGAAAGTAAATAAAATAATTAAATTAAATACAATGAATAGTATATACAACACCCTGGCTCTCAAGGGCTGAAATAAAAAAGACAAAAGGGATTTTTTTTTTAATTTGTTGTTAATGCCAGGCGTTGGAGGCACACACCTTTAATCCCAGCACTCAGGAGGCAGAGGCAGGTGGATCTCTATGAGTTTGAGGCCAGCCTGGGCTACACAGAGAATCCCGGTCTCAGGAAAAACAAAAACAAAGTTGTTATTTATTTGGTTTTTTTGAGACAGGGTTTCTCTGTAGCCCTGGCTGTCCTGGAACTCACTCTGTAGAGCAGCTGGCTTCGAACTCAGAGATCTGCTTGTCTCTGCCTCCTGAGTGCCTCGATTTATTGTTGTTTTTATTATTTATTTTTATTATTTATCAATTATTTATTAGTAGTAGTAGTAGCAGTATTGGTGTTTTGAGACAGGATCTCACTCTGTAGCCCAAGCTGGCCTTGAACTCACAGAGATCCTCCAGGCTCTGCCTCTCGAGTGCCGGGATTAAAGGCGTGCGCCACCACCCCCAGCCCAGGAAATGTGACTTTTTCAGACGTGGATGGTGGCCAGCGTTGACACAATGATTGAATATTTTTGCAGAAGCCTCAGTGATGACGCCATCTCCTGTAAAGTAGTCAAGGTGTCATAATAATCATGACCGCCAGAGGGCGCGAGAGACCCCAGCTTCAACTCACAGCCCGGGGCCCAGGGGCCGCTGTCCTCTGTCTGCAGGGACAGTCACGGCTGAAACGGATAATGAGGGCGTGAGGTCTGGTCTAGTGTGTGCAGAAGCCCTGGTCAAGAGCAGGACCGGGGAAAAGAGAAAAATATATGTGTGTGCAGGGCTGGAGAGCTGGCTCAGCGGTAACCAGCACTAGCTGCTCCTGCAGAGGAACTGGGTTCGAGTCCCCGCACCCACGTGGCAGCTCCAGTTACAGATTACAAAGGATCCGACACCCTCTTCTGGCTTCTGAGGGTACTAGGCACACATGTGGTGCACACGCATACAAGCGAACATTTATACACATTAATTAATTTTGTAGTAAAGGGGAAGTTACAGGCCTAATTGAGTTACAGTTACTTATTCGTGTGTGCTTGGGGGGGGGGCGTCAGAGGACCCAGCCTGGGAATGAGGACGCATCCTTGCCCTCAGCAGTGTGGAGCTCAGGGATGGAACTCAAGGCATCAGGCTTGGCAGCAATCCCCTTCGCCCGCTGAGCCCTCTCACAGAACTCGCTGTCTTAGCCCTGCTCTTACAACGGACCCCAGGGGGACCCCAGGCTGGCCCCAAACTCACTGTCACTTCCCTGCCTCTGTATACGCAGAGGCCCGTGGTTTAATTTCACACCCCTCACCTGCGGCTGGAGCGGGCCTGGGGGTGGGGGGAGG